CCCCACCCCCGTCCAAATTCATTTGCATCCGCTGATGATATCAGTAAAGAATTGCTGGCACCGTATGAGGCAGGGTGGGGGGAGAAGGCTTATTTGGATAAAAAACTGGACCGCAGAGTGGACACGGCCCTAAAGGTCAGTCGCCCATTCATGTCAAGGTGGCAGGGGGTGTGTGTGTGTTGGGGAGGGAGGGGGGTCGGCATGGGGTTGCCAAAGAGGCTTATTTGAAAGCGGGCGTATATTTGAGGCAAAGGGAATGAAAAGAAGTGGACCACAAAGCTCGTCATACTTCAAATACGCCCCGTCACATCTTCACTCTTTCGCTCTCCACGCAGGAGGCGGGTATATAAAGTGGGGTCTCAGTACTGTGGCATGGCCTGCGGAACACGCAGCACAAAATAACACACACACACACACACAGAAAAAAGAAAAAGAAAAAGAAACGTGTGACCAGAAAAGTGGATCACAGAGGTTGAGGTGCACAAAAGAAGTTGTTTCCAAGGTTCTTCCTTTTAGTGGCTCCCTTTGATTTGTGCAAATAAAAATATTGGATGAATTAAAATAAGGGGAAGCAGCGTGGTTGTCAGAAAGTTCCTTTTAATGCTGCTGATGTGGAGCATTTCATGTAACCTCGCCGGGGTTGTTTACAGCACCATAATGCTGAAGAGATAGAAAACCTTTCTGAGATGATTCTTTATAGCACCAAAATAGGGCTTTGCCATGGAGCAAGCCTATAATTTTCTGATTACTAGGCTCTATGCTACAATTTTGGTAATAGTGCAGAATGTCAAGGATTTACTTCTAAGGCAAAAAAGAAAAAACGGGAAAAGTATGAATATAATAGTATGTGTGCTGTATATATCCACTGAATAAAGCTCTGAACGCCATGGAGTGCCCTTAGAGGAAAAAAAAAGAAAAGAAAACGCAGGCAATATGTCACGGTAATATCTGAAATATATTTTTAATAATATATTTTACATTAGGATGCTCTTCTTTTATATAGATCTCAGGTTTTATTTTTCATTCAACAAATCACCAGGAGTCAGATGCAGATTACATTCAGTAGTTTCCTCACCACTGAATAGAGGATCATGTAAACAATCTCACATAAAGGCTAATAAAACTGCAAATGTATTTCCACATTAATTAATAAATCAATTTATACTCTATACAGCCTTGCATATATACCATAGTTTACTTGTAGGGCACAGCTACCATTCACCGTGCGCATACACACACACACACACACACACACACACACACACACACACACACACACACACACACACACACACACACACACACACGTCACTTCATCATTATGTACAGGCTATATAGTAAAATTAGGTGAGGTACACTGCAAAAGAAAGGAGTCACAATTTCTTTGTAATTATTTCTTAAACTACATCAGTGGCCTAGTTCTAAGTGTGCCCATGCAGTCTCTAGCCTAAACTTTATTTTTCAGTCTAGAGGATGTGGTGGTGGGGGGGGATTAATGAAAGCTTTAACCGAGCGAAAATGGTCACAAATTCCTGGTTGTCGAGGAGCGAATGACAAGATAACGAATGTGGAAAATTTTTGCCCCTGACACCTCTATTTATATATCATTGCAAGAAGCCAATCACTCACACGTTGTCTTTAGTATTATTACACTTCAAGACAAAATTATACATACAGATTTATTTTTTTGCCTCCCTTCAACTATAACAAAAATAATATTTAA